AAAGAGCGCGGTGTAGGACGCGGCTTCGGCCAAGTCTTCGATCGGCAAGTGGAGTTCCCTCGACGTAGCACGACGCTCTTCGCCGCAAGTGCGTGTATCGCTGCTGAACGCTGTGCGAGGCCGATAAGGTGTCTCTTCTGCCGAGTTGAAGGACGATTTCTCGACCCACTCCCCAACAAGCGACTCACGGTTTCGTTCGGGTGGTTCTTCTTTAGCTAGCTGCATCGCCTTTTTCATTGGAGCCAGGCGTTGTTTCGATTTAAACAACTCGAGCTCCGCTCCGTACTCGATGCGGCGACGCACTAAAGACACAGGGCTTCGGACTCTGCGGTAGCAGCGCAGCGGGGGGTAGGGGGCGTGGCGGGGCTCGTGGTGTTATACCTATCCTTATCGCTCGCGCGTAATTATATTGCTGTCGCGACTGTGTGCGAGCGCGACAGCAATATAATTACGCGCGAGCGATAAGGATGGGTAACTAGGGGTCATTGGACAAAATTGTACGAGCTCGGCGACCAGACATTATCCATGCACGTGGTGTTTTCGGTGCGCGTGCTATTTTTCGTGCGCGTGGTATTATTTTATTTTCTGTATGTGTACCTACTGCAGGTTTTTAATCTTTGTAGATACGTTATTGTTATTTAACTTTTTTCTAGATAATGAAATTGTTGATTCTGCACAAATACAAGTTTTCTCAATAAACCGCAGTTCAATTATAAAAAATACCTTACAAATCAATCATCAGCAATCTGTTAAGGAATGTATTTATTTTTTGAAAAATTGCTTATTAGTCCTATCCTATGAAAAGTACCAAGTTTATACAGGGTGGAATTTTGTAATGCCACCTGGAGGGAAAGTACTCAATACTCAATATCTTTACTCTTAATATTGTAAATAGAAAATTTATCTCAAAGAAAACATTTCTTTATTTTTAAACGAAATAGAACTGCAAAGATTTCCAAAAATTTGCTTGCCACACCTGGGAATCGAACCAACTAAAATTAAAAAAAAAAACTGTATTTTTATTACATCGATCGTTAGGGTTAAGTATAAGGATGAATTCTCTCTAACAAACTTGATAAATCAAATGAAAGGAAAACTATGAAATCTTAAATTATTTTATAGAAAATTGTATGGTATGGTAGTGAATTATCCAAAAAATTTCTTAAATGTTTGAATGCAGTTCTTTCTTTTCAAAAATAAAGGAATGTTTTCTTTCAGTAATATTTCTATCTACAGTATTAACAGTACTTTCCCTCCAGGTGGCATTTCAAAATTCCACCCTGTACCTATTTCAGTAGTACGAGTAGAATCAACCATTTTTGAGTAACCAAAAAAACACCCTGTATTAGTTAATAAGTAATTAAAACATTATAAGGCTGTTAATAATAATAACCGTTCATTGTGGAAAACCTTGAGGAGACCTTTGTCCAGCGGTGGACGTCATTTGGCTGAAACGAACGAAGGCTGTTACTTAGGTACATAATTAACTTTATTATAATTTTAAAAGGTATTTGTATTTACTGTTCCTACTACTAAGATTCCCGTACCGATGTAAAATATAAAAACCTCTGTCACGAGTTATGACATGACCACAGAGAAAGGTCATAGCAGTCTTATCAACTCGGAAAGGGATCAACACGGTATAGATGACTCACGCTGAACTGTCCCACCAAACTCAATGACAGGGGGGCGCTACCATCGTTCAACTATATGGTTTCAAACATGGCAAAAATCAGAACCAGCGATCCGGTGTTGACGGTGGCGCCCCACTGTCAATGTCATGCATAGGACAGTTCAGTATTTTGGAACTAAATCGCTTTTCGCGCGATGTCAACCGCGAGGCGAGGCGTTTACGTTACGGTGCGGATAAGTGTGCGTTGCAGTATGGAGTTTCATACAAAGAATACTGACCGCCTCGAGTTGATACGGTTACGATCCCATTCCGGGCTGATAAGTGAGCGACGTCCTTTAATAGTGATATTTAAGAAAAATACATTTTAGTGTTCAATCTTTTATTTTGATAATAACAATTTAGTAATGGATTCAAAAATGGTTAAAACACTTCCAAAAATATCTCATACATAATTACATACACAATAACATTTCATACATATTATAGTCTGGTCTGTGAGCACGTAGAATTTTGTCCAATGACCCCAAGCTACCCATCCTTATCGCTGTCGCGACTGTGCGACCGCAGTGAGTGTGCGAGCGCGACAGCAACATAATTACGCGCGAGCGATAAGGATGGGTAGCTTGGGGTCATTGGACAAAATTCTACGTGCTCACAGACCGGGCTTAGTTTGCGCAACGAAAGTTGAGGCCATGAACACAAGCTAAGATTCATAAAGTTATTATACCTAGCGGAATAAAGCAACAAAGGATTGAGCGAGCGAGATGTCACTAAAGTAACACTGTGTGATAAAAAGAGATACATGATGTGACGTAACACAACTGTTAGCACTCATTGGCACGCTGAAAGTTTGAGCTCTGACATTTTTTCAGATTTTTAGTTGTTCAATAAATGTTTCTTTCTTTCTTATAGTAGCACCCTCCTGTCAATGTCATATAATAATCGCTGATGTCACTTTTCGTATTCACGTATTAACGGATTTCGTTTTTATGCGTATTTAATCGTTACTTCCGCAGTATTCACCTATATTACCTATTTTGGTTTATTCGGATGACAGTGATTAAACGTCAAATGACAAATCGCTGAGTTGCGATCCTATTGAGTAATCGTTCTATCGAAATGACACGTGAATACGGATTCTGGACAGTTAAAGAAATCTTTGCTTATGTTGATCGCCTCAACACTCGTTGCGCCAACTATACACAAATTAACATTAACATTTAATTATTAAGATCAACTTAAATTAAACTAACAATTGTCATTTCATCACACATTTAAACTAAGTTTTCGGTGCCGGTTTCTTCAAGAGCCCTGGAATAAAAAATGAAACATTTATTACTGAACAAGACCTTTAATATAGACTGTTTCATCCACTCGGACGCGCCCCACTAATTTTAATTTTCAAAAATAAATTTTTTTGGTCTCGGTCGCGCGGGGTGCGGGGAGTGTGGTCCGAGCAATCCGTAAGGCATTATTTTAGTGTGCGTGTGCACTCATGGAGCATTTAGCGTATACCGATAACACTCAAACGTTAGCAGAAGAATGGTGGGGCGCGTCCGAGTGGATGAACCTGATATTACCTGAGTGCCTGAGGTATGGGAGCGGCCCGGGTGGGGGTTTTTGTGACGTCAAACGTCAGCGATACTTCAGATGTGCTTCAGACTTGACTCTGTCACCACAGAATAATAATAAGTACTACCACAGAATAATAATAAGTACTACGTACAGAAGTTTTACTTCGCGAAGGTATTTAAAAAAATGTATGCTCAATGTCATTAACAATATGATGTAATTTAGCCTGTCTCAAGAGTCAAGCACCATTTTGATGACAAACGTCAGTGATCGGCACTGCGCCGAAGCTATAGGGCTGACTTCGGTAAAATGATGTGACGTGAGGTGCCAAACTGCGGAAAATGGCGGAGGAAATACATGATTAAGCATGAATTATCATGAATAATTTAACCACAAGAATACGCGTGCGTGAGTCAATGTTAGCTCGTATGTGAGGCCTTGTTGAATAGTATCCTGTAGGTGGGCCATCGTGGGTGTTTTGTTTTCGATGTAAACTCGCGGAGATGAACAGGCCTGATAATACATACATAATATGTCAAAAACAAAAACCATGACTTTGTCCCCTCAATTATGTTATTACGTCACCCCTCCCGTGGCGCCGTAGCCCTCCATACCTTAAGCACTGACTCGAGTTATGCGCCAGACTTGTAGTAAAACTTACTTGGTATACTCGTGGTTTTCTGGATCGTCTTCATTTTGTTCATATCCGAGCTGTTTTTGAACTTCGAAGGAATTTTTCCTGTAAATAAGAAAGTATAATAAAATATTTTGTTATATAAAATATTATGGCAGACCGCTGCCAATCGATCAACATGGAAAGCATTGGGGGAGGCCTATGTTCAGCAGTGGACGTCCTATGGCTGAAATGATGATGAATAAAATATTTGTTGCTATTCACGAAGGCGAGTGAGCTTTACACGTGTGGTGGCTCTTTCTGTGGGGGTTCCTTTTAGAACGTAGGTGCTCACTAAGACGGGATTTTGCTAAATTCAACCCCTAAGGGGGTAAAACGGGATCCACGCGTACGAAGTCGCGGGCTGCTAGTATGAAATACTTACTGGGGCTTATTCTTAGAGGATTCTTCTTCAACGTTGCTTCCGATCTGGGCGACAGCTTCTTTTGTGGTATTTTAGATTTCTTGTCGCTATTTTGCTTGTCAATATTCCCCAAAACTTTGGTGTTGCCAGTGTGAGTTTTCAAACCGCCCGGAATAAATTTCGATTTGAATTTTGGTTCCGTTTTTGAGTTTGGCACCTTTTTGTTGTCTATGTTTTTTTTATTTTTCTCGGAGCTATCCACGTTTGGTTTTTTAGCGCTGGCAACACCGTCTATTTTGTCGATAAGGTTGCTCTTTCTTTTGACAGAGCTCTTTCGATTTTCGACAACTTTCTCTAACGTATTTTCTTTGTTAATGTCTGAAGGTACGTTTTTCACTGAGTTTTTTGGATTTTGTAACACTTTTTTACCATCCTGATTAGTATTTTTAGTCATTTTATCATTTTGAGCTTTATTCTGAATCCTTACGGTATCTTTTTTAACGTCACTCTTAGTTTTTTTTATATTCTCATTTGTATTCTTTGAATTAACACTTTCTTTTACTGGTTTCACTGGAGCTTTAGTTTTAATTGGTTCTTTATTGACAGTGGCAACACTTTTAGCGTTTTTAATTACAGCTTTGTTTGTTTCTTTATCTTGTTCGTTATTTTGTTTTTTAGCACTAGCCACACCTTTAACATTGTCTTCTTTATCTGGTTTATTTGATTTCTTTCCTTGTTCATTGGTAGTATTTTTATTCTTGACACTTGCAACACTTTTAATTTTGTCCCCTTTTTCGGTGTTCAGTTTATCTTTCGCATTATTTATATCTGCATTTTTAGTCTCAGCTTTGGTTTTGTTAGTCCCACTTTTTACTTTTTCACTTTTTTCTGTAGGTTTTTCTTTATTTACCAAGTTATTGTCCGATTTGGTGGTTTTATTCGTCTTTTTAGGGTTCGCAACAGTCTTTTGATCATTGTTATCGTCTTTTTTGGTAGATTGCGCTGCTTTTGCAACTTTTTCTTTAACCTGTTTTTGCTTTTCAGTATTTTTTTCTCTGTCAGCATTTTGTATATTTTTTGACTGAGTAGCTTCTTCTGGTTTGTCACTATTTTCATTAGATTTCTGTACTACAGAGTTTAGAATGTCAGCATCATTTGTTTCTTTGCCAACCTTTTTTGCTACAATTTCTTTCTTATTTTGGACTTTTTTCACTTCGCCCTTCTTATTACTGGCAACACTAGCTCTGTCTACTGGTTTTGCATTAGAATTTGAATTGTTATCGTCACTTTTATCCTTATTTACAGCATCTTTAGCACCATTTTCGCTTAAACCACTTTGCGCACCCAAATCTGTTTTCAATTTCTTAACATTTTCCATATTCTCGTCACTATTCCCCCTTTTAAGCTTCTCCTTTCGATTGTCAGCTATATTTTCTTTGCCTTTGAGTTTGGTTTTCTTCGGCAAAGATTTCGGTGGAGCCATCAGTTCGGTTTCTTTCTTTTTTTTCATCCCAGGGTCGTCTGGTTCTTGGTCCAGGGTCGTTCTTCGTGATCTGAAGGACTGATTGTTCTCTGGGTCTGATGACATGCTCTCATACAACTCCTGGGTGGGTCCCTGGGCTTCCAAACAGGTGGAGATGATCTTGGATAGCAACAGAGTACGCTCGTCGGTCTCAAGAGATGGGTCTGAGAGTTGTCTGTGAGCTTGCGTTATGATCTTTATGTAGGATTCGTCTGGAACAAGTAAATTATTTCTTTAGACACAACAAGGAGGCGATTGAGTCTTGGCCTGCATTTTTCCTGATAGTAAGTGATGATCAGGCCGAAGGTGGAAGCGAGCTTCGCCCGGAATCAACCACAGAGGCTGGCTATCCTCTAACTAGGGGCCGTTCAAGTATTACGTAAGCACCAAGAGGGGGTGGGGGGGTCTCTGTTTTGCTTATTTTGGATGACATGGGGGGTAGGGGGGTCTAGATGATGATTACGTCATCGTTAGTTATTTACGTTTTTTCGGGGATTCCCGCAAATAATACATATACGTAGGCACTCGCTTTGAGAACTGATAAGGGGAATTACCGCTCATTAGGGAAATTACCGTGCGCTATTCACTTGTCTAATAATAACTCTCGTGCCGACCACTGCCCATTGAAGTTTGAGAGTCGTAGTCCGCATAGGTATCATCAAAACACGCGGCCTCCCGCGCGCGTGTTTTGTTTGGATACTAAACGTATTGTAAGCATTGAAAGTTATCATTTGTGTTTATGTTGATGCATAATAATTGATGCAATTGAGAATGTTACTAGGTATGCAAAATCACTTAAAACCTATGTTACAGTTAGGCTTTTACATTAACAAATACATTAGTTTTTATTTCATTCAAAAATACCCAGTAGTTATGATTTTATAGGCATTCAAAGTTCGCTTAAATATTGAGTGCCGCCGACGGTCACGTGACCCCGCGTGACGTACATTCACAGTGTCCGCTCACTAGAAAACGGATATAAACATACTTAAATTCATTTTTTTTTGTAAATACAAACTTAAAGTACATATTAACACCCAGACCCATCACAGAAATTAAAATTGAACCAAACCCAAACTTGATGCGATTGTGTCATTTTATTGCGAATTACCTTCCAGCTCCATCATTAGACCCTGATTACTATATAGAATTAAAGTACTCATCAATACAAAACGAANATATGAGCCAGTCACTGTAATATGACGTCACGCGCATAAAATGGCGGGCCGGCCGCCGCCCGCACTTTTAAAATTCAATATCTTGGAAACTAATTGACGTATCGAAATAATTCTTTCACATGTATTTTTTGTTTTTAACAGAGAATACAGAAAGCTAAAAAACAAAATTAGTGAACATTCTTCATTATGTTTGTTATGTTCTTTATTTCTGATTATATTTTTTGTCCCTTACTCTGTGTGTATCAGTTAAACCTAATATTTTCATGAAATTTCCTATTTTAAAAAGGACAATATAAAAAATATTTATAACTAAAAATGTTTACGTAAGCATAGGGGGAGGGGGTAAGTGCTTTGCTTACTTTTGATGACAAGGGGGGCGGGGGGGTAAAAAATGGTAAGAAATCTGCTTACGTAATACTTGAACGGCCCCCTACCGGAAGTCCGGAATAGGCTAGATGACAAAATTTTAATTATTTTGTCCGTCAGAGAGATAATTAGAAAATATTACTCATATTTTTTATTTTCTTTCTTAATTAAATAATAACAGTGCTACATTGAGTTGAAATGGCGCGTTACGTCACGCTTGAGTAGATTTGTTACTCAAAAGTGACGCCACGCGACATTCCAACTCAATATAATACTGTAATTATTAGATTACGAAAAAAATTCAAAAATAATGTGTCCAAAATTTTTTTATTTGCTGTCTGACGGACTAAATAGAATTTCGATTTCATCACCCAGTCATAAATGTTGTAGTTTCTTAAGCAGTGGTTATACAGTATGAGTCACGTTAAAGTGTACATATGAAAATATATGAAACTAGACCTATTTTTATCGATAAAAAAGAGGTCAAAATTTTTTTGAGATTTTTTTTAATTTTTTATAGAATTTTTTTTCTTACTTATTGTAAAGAAAACGTAATAACTTTTAAACTAAGCGGTATATCCTGATAAAATAAAAACAGTAATAATGCTAAATAACAGGCGATACTAAAAAAATACATAAAATACACAAAAAATGCCAACAAATAATAAAAAATGATACTTTTTGAAAAAAATCTACTTAAAAATTCGTATTTTTTTGGTAAATTTCTCCAAAAAATGCCCCTATAACAGATGGTTTTTATTACTTTTTATTATTCTCTATCGTAATCTGTATAAAAAATCTCAAAAATTTTTTGACCTCTTTTTTGTCGATAAAAATAGGTCTAGTTTCATCTGTTTTCATATGTACACTTTAACGTGACTCACACTGTATTAGTCTGTCTGTTATTGCTCCACTGTATGTTTTTCAAACAAAATAAAAATAAAATTAGTTTGAGTATAAACTCACCCATATATTCCAAATCGAACTTCATGCGGTGGTGGAACGGCGCGATGGGTGACCACTTGTTCTGCAGCGTCCACGAGACTTCCAGCAAGTTGGCGCACTTCAGGATGTAACCTCCTTCTTGCTGCAACCAACACAATAATAGGCTAGTTTCTAGCGGTGGGCGATTATGAGATATACTAACGAAATCATTCGATTATGAAAATGTCTCGAGATATCTCGATTATAACAGTTAAAGCCTGGTCTGCAAGCACGTAGAATTTCGTCCAATGACCCCAAGCAGCTACCCATTCTTATCGCTCGCGCGTAATGAGGACTATCGTTTTAGCACCAGTAAGCGCCACTGTAGAGTAAGGTCCTGTCACTTGCTAGAAGCGAAGACAGTGGCACCAACTGGTGAGCGCTAAAGTGGTAGGAGGACTATCGTATTTGCACTCATCAAGATGGCGCCACTGTAGAGTAAGGTCCTGTCAATCGCCAGGGGTGCCAACTGTTAAGTATAAAAACGATAGTCCTCATTATGTTGCTGTCGCGCTCGCACACTCACTGCGGGCGCCCGTCGCACAGTCGCGACAGCAATATAATTACGCGCGAGCGATAAGGATGGGTAGCTTGGGGTCATTGGACAAAATTCTACGTGCTCACAGACCGGGCTTTAGTAATAACTTACCATGGGCTCCATGTAAAGGGAATTCGCGTATTTATCGGCCAGCCGCGCGAGGGTGGTGCGGCGCGAGCGCTGCGCCGCCGCGTAGCTTTTTAGGACCTGTTATAAGAATGAATACTTTATTCAACATAATATTATCTACACTAATATTATAAAGAGGAAAACTTTGTTTGTTTGGTTGTAATGAATAGGCTCAAAAACTACTGGACCGTTTTTAAAAAATCTTTCACCATTCGAAAGCTACATTATCCACGAGTAACATAGGCTAAATTTTATTTTGGAAAAAAATAGGCGGGTCCACTATCTACTATATAAAAATAAGTCGGGTTTTCCTTCCTGACGCTATAACTCCAGAACGCACGAACCGATTTCCACGGTTTTGCATTCGTTGGAAAGGTCTCGGGCTCCGTGAGGTTTATAGCAAAGAAATTCAGGAAATTTTAACAAACGAAATTCCACGCAAGCGAAGCCGCGGGCGGAAAGCTAGTAGGCTATATAATGTAGTCCACGCGGGCGAAGCCGCGGGCAGAAAGCTAGTAAAGAATACAGTACATAACATTTTCCAAATATTCCGTTGTTATCATCAGACAGATTTATAGGAAAGTTACAATTTAATGTGACAGTGAGGCTAGATTGTTTCGCAAACTGCCAGCCAAATAAATTAAGTATAATCAATCATCATCATCAGTGTGCTTACCATGTGTGTTTACGTTAGGTGTGCTCGCTAATGAGTACGTAAAAAAAATACATTAAGAGTAGGCGCACACCGTTGATTTTTCGTCGGCCGATAGTTTAGTCGGGCAGTTGATCAGTATGGGCATGTATGGGAGTGCGCACACTACGCCGATTTGATTTGGCCGATTCTTCATACAAATTAAAATCGGGCACAACTATCGGCCAACTAAAAATCAACGGTGTGCGCCTACTCTAAATGTATGACGGATTGTACAGCGCCCCTAGCGGAAACTTTCAAGAACTAAAATTTTCATATATTTTTTTACCGGACTTTAAATTCGTCGTCGTCGTCGTCGTCGTTTCAGCCGAAAGACGTCCACTGCTGGACAAAGGCCTCCCCCAAGGATTTCCACAAAGACCGGTCCTGCGCCGCTTGCATCCAGGTACTTCCCGCGACCTTCACCAGATCGTCGGTCCACCTAGTGGGAGGCCTGCCCACGCTACGTCTTCCAGCTCGTGGTCGCCACTCAAGAACTTTTCTGCCCCAGCGGCCATCAGCTCTTCGAGCTATGTGCCCCGCCCTTTAAAGGGCGGGACTTTAAATTAACATAATTTAATGAAACATCGTTCTAACCTCGACGGCGTCGCTAGGCCGCATTACGGAGGGTAGTACGCTCCTGCCGAGTTCGCCCTCGTGGGCAGACTTCACGGGAGCCACGCGTAACCCTCGGTAGGACAGCTGGCCGAACTGGCGGCTCTGGAACAAACGTTTCAACGTACATATAAACATAGATAGAGCAACTTTTGAAACTTGAAACTTTTTTGTTTCAATGAGGGTTTTCGCGAATGAAAAATCCACCAGATGGCAATACGTAGGCGAGGGCCAAATACTCAATACTCAATAATTTATCAAAATCAAATCAAAATCAAAAAATCTAAATTATCTTTATTTGTTTAGACTAATTAAATTAGTTCTTGCAAATCGTCAAATGCTCTTAAGGAGCCTATACATGTCTCATTCTTTTTTTGCCCTACCAGCGCTTCGAGACAAACATTTGGCAAGTGCTGAGAAGAAGCGCCGCAACAAACTCAGTCACCACTGTNTGGACCTAATAGCGCTTTTTTGTAGGATGAATATAGTTTCAAAATCAGCTGCCTTTCCCCATAGTAAGATTCCATATGATAGCAGGCTATGAAAGTAACTAAAGTAAACTAAGCGAGCTGTTGGAATATCAGTTAGATATCTTATTTTCTTAATTGCAAAAGCAGCTGAGCTAAGTCTACTTGCTAGAGCTGTTATATGGGGTCCCCACTGAAGTTTAGAGTCCAGTGTAAGTCCCAAAAATATCGTCGTATCCACAAATATTGCTTCCATAATGTTTACAAAAGGTGTTATTGGTAAGGTAAGATACAATGAGGGCTATCGTTTTAGCGCTCACCAGTTAGCGCCACTGTAGAGTAAGGTCCTGTCACTTGCTAGTAGCGAAGACAGTGGCGCCAACTGGTGAGCGCTAAAGTGGTAGGAGGACTATCGTATTTGCATTCATCAAGATGGCGCCACTGTAGAGTAAGGTCACAAAATATAACAGAAGGTAAACTCATGTATGTACCTCGCTTTGCATACCTCTCTCGCTCGCACGCTCGGCCGTCGCGCTAGGGTTGTCTTGTCATGTGTTGCTTTTATTTCGTTATGATAGAAAAATTTAACTCTTNAAGTAGTTAATATTATTCATGATAATTCATGTATTTCCTCCGCCATTTTCCGCAGTTTGGCATCTCACGTCACATCATTTTACCGAAGTCAGCCCTATAGCTTCGGCGCAGTGCCGATCACTGACGTTTGTCAACAAAATGGTGCTTGACTCTTGAGACAGGCTAAAATTACACCATATTGTTATTGACATTGAGCATACATTTTTTTAAATACCTTTGCGAAGTAAAACTTCTGTACGTAGTACTTATTATTATTCTATGGTATAAGTACCAGATTTTATTTATGACAAAATTCAATTTTATTGAAACATTGTGTTACAGATCTGGCGCATATCTGAGTCAATGCCTGACGTATTTATTTGTATTTGTGAGTTTACATCAAACTCACTAGTGAGCGCGTTTAAAAAATTTCATCAACAGCCCTTTACAGTCCACTGCTGGACTATGAGCCTCCTCCACTATAGTGGAGGGTTTTGCCATAATACCCACGCTTGGCAGGCGGGCTGGAGATCGCAGTTTACAAGATTGGTGTTTTTCAGAGAGCGCTGCTGCCCATTCTCTGTTTGATGTGTAGTCCCTAAGTCGCCTCTTACGACACCCGCGGGAAGAGTAGGGGTTGGTGACAAATGTATTCTACTCTGCCGTCACCACACGGCTAGAAAAAAATTATGAAAATTTTAGTTTTTGAACGTTTACTGCTAGGGGCGCTGTACAAACCATCATACATTAAATGTCATTTTTGACGCGCTCACGTATGATGAAAACTCACACTCAGCCCTCAGAAGATGCTCTGACTGCGCCAGAGGTGGAATTGTGTAAAGCAATCGTAATCATTTGACAGTTCATAACATACGATAAAGTCAGTTAAACAAAGCGTTTCAGAATAATCGTACGTTATGAACTGTCAAATTATTACGATTGCTTTACACAATAGGCTAGTTTCCTAAAAAAAACTTTTTAGTCCGTCATGTTTAATATCAAAAAATATTGGACACGTATATTTTTATTTGTCAATCTAACAAATAATTACATAGTTATGGTGCGTTGAAGTTCTGCACGACGTCACAACGTGCGGCACTTTTATGCAAGCATTGACGTCACGGACCTCTTCTTATGAACTTTGGCGCGCTTTATCTCTTTAAATTTTCATTACTTTGAAAAAATGAAAAATACGTGTAGAGTATTTTTGGATAAGTTAACTGACGGACTAATTAAAACTCTTGCTTTTTGACCCAGGAAACATCCCTAATAAACCGCTGTATACCAACCGGCTGGTGCACGAAGAACGTAATGGAGAAAGGCACCAGGTCCACGCGACACTCCGCCGTCACCTCGCGCCACAGCCCCGGCTCTGTCACCGGAGGCTCCCTGGAAACACCATGTGAAGAAAAGTTTAATAATTTTATACCGCCTGCTTTTTTTCAGTTTGGCCCTAAGGTTGACTTGAGGAAAATGCGAAAAGGCATTAAGTACACTGCTCTATGTGCATACAAGTTTGAAATAAATCTATATCTATAAAAGCGAAAGGTCACTGACTGACTGACTCACTCCTTCATTTAATTATTTGTTTATTAAGACTAGGCGCAGACCACAATTTTTAGTTGGTTGATAGTTGTGCCCCATTTTAAATTGTATGAAGAATCGGCCAAATCGAATCGAATTTATTTATTGTATGTAGCTAAAACTATGTTTTGTGGAAATAAAAGATTTTTATTTATCTATTTATTACATCCGTTCATTAGTGCCCATTACTTAGCTTAGCTCAGGACTAGAGGTGCAGCGTAAAATATCCATGGACATTTATTTAAGAATAAGAATAAGAAAAACTTTATTTGACACAAAAAGAAAATAAAAAACAGAACAGAGGGACGCTGGTTTTCAGCGGGCGCCTCTCCAACCAACATTTTAAATAAAAAAAAAAAAAACATTGACAAGAGGGCGCCACTATCTCACCACACCAATTTTTTGCCATACAAATATTTTTTTTATTATTTATTCATTCTTACCCAATAATCTCCGGCTCGTCCACCAACATATTCACTTCAGACTGCAGCACCTGCACGCTGGTCAGCTCCTGCGTGGCCTGTAGGCACGTCCGCTGCATCGCCTGCTGCTGCTTCAAGTGGGCCATCGACGGACCGTTGTCTATGGTGAGCGAGAACTCCTCTTCTGAACTGAAATGGGTGGTATTTTTTTTTATGTGACGAGGCAAAAGAGCAGTCGGATCACCTGATGGTTAGTGATTACTGTCGCCCATAGACACCCGCAGACCCAGGGGCGTTACAGGTGCGTTAAAAAATATATTTATACTTATTTTCTCTGCAATGGGTAGTCAATTTGGGTAAGGATGCCCATCAGTGGCTCAAATTAATTGTGAATTTAGGTGTTTTTTGTCTTTTAGTTTGATTTTATTTATTTCAAATAAACTTTGTATCTTTGACTCGTTCACATAGCTTGTTTGAAATATAAAAATCAAAGAAAAAAGGTACTAAAATCACAATTAATTTTCAGCCAATGTCTCAAGGGTTAAGTAACCCAGATTGACGGTATCACAGTAAAATTTATTTTTCATGGCTCAAATGTTAGGAATGGGAGAAAATCTAACTAAAGGTTACTGGAAAATCGGAGGATAACGTCTGATAATAGCCGTTTGATACTAGAAGAGCTTATGATTACTAAAAGGCAGTGGTATTATTTCTTTAGCTGTAATGGAGCAAATTTTAATGCTTGAAGTTTTTATTGTTTTTCGGTAACTTTTTGGGATACTGATAGCTGTATTGGTATAAATAGATACTAGTGATCTTTATCGTTGAGTAAATTAACAACAAAATGCCTTTTACCTGTCGGAATCTTCCACAGATGTGTTTTTCGCGCACTTAAAAGCAACTTCATTAATTCTCTTTTCATAATACTTAATTTCCTGTAAAATCTTCGCCTTGTAGGCTAACAGTTCCTTTTTCTTTGTGCTCATAGTTTCACTTGCCGGCATTGTGGTGAAAAATCATGAAAATCTCACAAAATAAAAATAAATTCACACAACAACAACACAAGCCAACGAATTTGTTTGAAATTTCAAAATCAATGTTGCCCAGTCTCTGCTAAATAAAATATACTACTAAAACTAATCATTCAATCACATTATCTTACAAATAGGTACATTAAGCGAATAGAAAAAAAGATTATTATCTGGATGTTTGTTGCTCTTTCACGCGATCACTACTGAACGGATTTTGATGTAACTTTACAGTATTATTGTTTATAACCCTGAATAATATATAGGCTATAATTTATGACGATCTGTGACAAACTAAATTTCACGCGGGTGAAGCCGCGGGCAAAAGCTAGTTATCTAATAATTCCTAAAACCTCTCTAAACAATTCGATATTCCTAATAATTGAGTTGGCTTTCAATTTCAATTGAAATTCAAATAAATAACTTACTTACCTCCCCGAATCAACTGGTAATTTAAAAAATGAAAATTCGGCATTCAATGATGAGTTTAAGCAACCAAATACCGAACAATTAAAATACGACTTTTTCTGTTCACTCATTTTCGTCAATTGCGCAAAACAAAATAATATCACAGGCGGTTGACCGGCGCGTGACTCAAGCGAACCACAGGGAACGTGTGGCGAACGTCTGTCTGTCGCGCCACGTCGCGCTCGCATTCGTCCAAGACAGTCTTGCTCGAGCGGTGTCTGTCTATGTGTGCGTGGCTCGAGCGCGTTTAGTATGGAGTTCGTCTTCTGTTATATTTTGTGGTAAGGTCCTGTCAATCGCCAGGGGTGCCAACTGTTAAGTATAAAAACGATAGCCCTCATTATGGACCCTGTTGGGCACTGCATTTTTGCATGATTGGTTATTTTTGACATGACATTGACAGATATGTCCAAATCCACCAATCACGCAACAGTCAGACCCCACATCCACGTCCCGCCATCTAGCGGATCTTTCATTCGCGAAAACCCTCATTGGCTGTTCAAATGTTCTGTCGGCCGTTTAGTAGGTAGTGGTTCAGAACGGACTACTATGCCGAGAGGTCCCGGGTTCGATTCCCGGCCGGGCAGAAATTGAAATGATGAATTTTAATTAAAATATAATATGTGATCAAGCTTTGCTTAGTTTGGGGCTAGCGGCGGATAAAATGTGCAAGGAAAAAATAAAAAAAATTTAATGTCTTCATAAATAAATAATTAAGATAAATGTGAAGAATAATTTTGTTACTTTCGAAAAATTGTCTTAGTAATTTGAACATTTTTAGCAACGTTTTGACAATAAAGACAATATACAAAGAGTGCTTTCACATTTAGGCTATTTAGCAGAAATGCAGAAACGCGCTGCCGAAAATTTCATACTATGTGACAGCGGATGCATGCCTTCGTGAAAGCGCTTTAAGAGCTGGTGAGCCCCAGACCTACGTAATTTTATAAAAGTATAAATTTTGACAGTATACGTAGTACCTACTACAATGTACACACGGCCACCACACTATTAACTATCCATTTCCGTTTTTGCTCTAGCTCTAATCAAATGGCGATTCTTTGCGATAGAACGAGATGACATGACTAGCAATGGGCAGTTAACACTGTTGCCGATAGTACATGCTCCCAATATAAGTTAGAATGTTGGTGAATCATGAAGTTTGGGTCATCGTGGCTTTGGCAGCTACCCTCAATAGATTGGCAAGGATTTGGAACTGTCTAAACTGTCTGGCTAACGAGGAAACAACTACTAATCATTGCTCAAATACTTACTAATACATAAAAATCAAGAATAAGAAAGAAGCTCTTATGAATACTGAATTAAATGGTTTTATCGCTGTATACCAACCGGCTGGTGCACGAAGAACGTTATGGAGAAAGGCACCAGGTCCACGCGACACTCCGCCGTCACCTCGCGCCACAGGCCCGGCTCCGTCACCGGGGGCTCCCTGGAAACGCCATGTCACATTTCATAATTTACATTAATCAAAGTGTTATGTAAAACACGAATCTTTAGTAAATATGATTAATATGATTACATGTACCATCGGCAACAGTGTTAACTATTTGATGAGAGCGAGAGCAAAAACTAACTAGGAAATGGATAGTTAACAGTGTGGCCGTGTGTACATATATCGGAAATTTTTTTTTTTTTCGGTTTTGTTAAGTTCTTGAACTTGTTTGATTTGATTTTATCAGATTGTTTCAGCCAAATGACGTCCACTGCTGGAGAAAGGCCTTCCCTAAGGTTTTCCACAATGAACAGTCCTGTGCTGCCCACATCTAGGCTCTTCCTGCGACCTTTACCAGATCGGTCCATTATCGTCGTCGATCGTCGGTTGATTTTATTTAAAATCATTTAAATTGAAATAAAACAGATTTTGGAACTGCTGTTATATTAATTCTACTTATTTATAGATGTAAAATAGTAAAATATGTGACATCACACTAAGGACGGGGGATTATTTATTTATTCATTCTTACCCAATAATCTCTGGATCGTCCACCAACATATTGACTTCGGACTGCAGCACCTGCACGCTGGTCAGCTCCTGTGTGGCGTGGAGGCACGTCCGCTGCATCGCCTGCTGCTGCTTCAAGTGGGCCATCGACGGACCATTGTCTATGGTGAGCGAGAACTCTTCTTCTGAACTGAAATGGGTGGTATTTTTTTTATGTGACGAGGCAAACGAGCAGTCGGATCACCTGATGGTAAGTGATAACCGTCGCCTATAGACACCCGCAGACCCAGAGGCGTTACAGGTGTGTTAAAAAATATATTTATATTTATTTTTCTCTGTAATAGGTACAGTCAAATTGGGTAAGTTAAGTTTGCCCATCAGTTGCTCAAAATATAATTGTGAATTTAAGTGGTTTTTAACTCAGTCAGCTGACCGCCGATGGGGCAGAAAGGTTCTGGAATGGAGGCCGCGTACCGCAAAAAGCAGCGTGGGACGTCCACCTACTAGGTGGACCGACGACATCGTAAAGGTAGCAGGGAAGCACTGGACGCAGGCCGCTACCAATCGATCAACGTGGAAGTCATTGGGGGAGGCCTATGTTCAGCAGTGGACGTCCTGTGGCTGAAATGATGATGATGATGAAGTGGTTTTTATCTTTCACTTTGATTTTATTTATTCCAAATAAACTTTGTATCTTTGACTCGTTCACATAGCTTGTTTGAAATATAAAAATCAAAGAAAAAAGGTACTAAATTCACAATTAATTTTCAGCCAATGTCTCAAGGGTTAAGTAACTCAGATTTACTGTATCATAGTAAAATTTATTTTTCATGGCTCCAATGTTAGGAATGGGAGAAAATCTAACTAAAGGTTACTGGAAAATCGGAGGCTAACGTCTGATAATAGCCGTTTGATACTAGAAGAGCTTATGATTACTAAAAGGCAGTGGTATTATTTCTTTAGCTGTAATGGAGCAAATTTTAATGCTTGAAGTTTTTATTGTTTTTCGGTAACTTTTTGGGATACTGATAGCTGTATTGGTATAAATAGATACTAGTGATCTTTATCGTTGAGTAAATTAACAACAAAATGCCTTTTACCTGTCGGAATCTTCCACAGATGTGTTTTTCGCGCACTTAAAAGTAACTTCATTAATTCTCTTTTCATAATACTTAATTTCCTGTAAAATCTTCGCCTTGTAGGCTAACAGTTCCTTTTTCTTTGTGCTCATAGTTTCACTTGCCGGCATTGTGGTGAAAAATCATGAAAATCTCACAAAATAAAAATTAATTCACACAACAACAACACAAGCCAACGAATTTGTTTGAAATTTCAAAATCAATGTTGCCCAGTCTCTGCTAAATAAAATATACTACTAAAACTAATCATTCAATCACATTATCTTACAAATAGGTACATTAAGCGAATAGAAAAAAAGATTATTATTTCATAAATCGCCTCACTTTGAGCGCGTAAAAATGTGATAGTGATTTTGCGTAAAAATAGTTTGGCATAGAAATAAACGCAAAAAAAAAAGGTTTCACACAAACTGCAAAAATCATAAAATTCTACTACAGCCATAAGTTTAATTTCTACAGGCAACATTCTATTTCGTGTGTTTTGTTACACGCAGTTAGCGTTTGAATATTTTTATTATTTAAACAACTACAATCAAGATAGATTCAATAATCAATAATCTTCCTTATAATTTCCTTTATACTGTTTAAATAATAGTTTTTTATTTATTTCTTTAGTAATTAAGTAACTGTAAATAAATGTAAAAATTGTATAGATGACCCACGCTGAACTGTCCCGCCAAACTCAATGACAGGGGGGCGCTACCATCGTTCAACTATATGGTTTCCAACATGGCAAAAATCTGAACCAGCGATCCGGTATTGACGGTGGCGCCCCACTGTCAATGTCATCGACAGGACAGTCCAGTATTTTGGAACTATACACATGTTCTTCTGTCATACAATACAAGCCGTCAGTCTACTGTCATTAATGTCAAACATTAAAAACTGTAGCATCGGTCGTCTTAATTTTAATGTTGCAAAAACATTCTAATTACAAGCAATAATGTGAAATAAACGCGTGCAATACTATTAATTAGCGAGTTATACAGACATTCCTTCAAAATAGTGCGTAAGCAACCAGATTCTTATAAGAATTACACGTTACCACTCGCATACTAATTATACACAATTAAATTTAATAATTACTGTAAACATGACATCTCGGGATCATAGTTCAAGTTTCCGTGTGTGATGCGGGCTTATACCGACTCTTAATACGGTTAAGTGTGTTTACAAAACATTAAATGGTTGTTTTAAGGCGTTGAGTTCTCGTCGAGGAATTTTGGCACCATGGGCCAGACCGGCAGTGCTATGCCCGGTAAGTGCTGTTAATTACCTCTAAACTTGTACTAATGAAGGCTAATAAGGTTCTAATAAGAAATTTTATCAGTTTTGTAGTTCTGAGTAACATAACCTCCTTCCTGTATGCATTCCATTCATGCTCTATTTCATTATTGATATTTCATACTTTAATGAAACTGTACGTTTTACAGTTTTCTACTTAATTTAGAACCTTTTTAGATACTTATTAAGCACTAACACAAAGCTGTGAATTGTT